ATAATAATAAGGACTTTATTGGATAACACAATTACTGGAAGTTCCGGTGATTTTCATTGTGGTCCAGATACAAATATTAAAAAAATATTAAAAAGTACAAAAACAAAACAAATAAATAAAACAAACAAACAAACAAAAGAAAAATTATAAAAGCTTCAGAAAAGAGATAACAAATCAGTAACTATAAAAATGTTAAAAGTTAAAAAGTTCTGCTAACAATAAAATGGTCATTTTTAAAATTACAGGATTAAATAATGTGTATGTAATTAATTCATTTTTTAAATTTGGCCATGGTATTTAAGACCCCTTAATGTTTCTTGCTAGATCATCCGAAGTCTGGGGCACCTTGCAAGAAATGTACATTGACCAGTCTTGGTATTTAAAAAAGCGACAGATAGTTCCATATGAGTTGACGCTCTAGTTTCAAAATTATGTCTGGTATTGATGTAGCAAATATAATGATTGAAGTAATCGTGACATTTACCATAATGCAGAGTTTCGTCAGTTGTATGATATTATCAATGGGGATCCAGCCCAGCTTGTTAAAAAGGTTAGCTGAGCTGGCATAAATGTTTGTGTCCAGATTAGTCTTGCACAAGCGCTTTTGAATTCTGAGGAGCCTGATATTAAATTATAATTCGTAGTGTCCCAGACAGAGAAGCAATATTCTAATATTGATTTAATCATAGCATTGTTTCCTAAGCAGAAGAGGCAGGCTTTTTTGGTCTTCTTAAGAGAGCATTCACAAAAACTTGTTGTTTGAGGGGGGTGGGGGGAGGGGGGGTTGGGGGTCTGATGAGTAATTGGGGGTCCCTCCCAAAAAATGTGAGGTAAAAGAGTGGCATTTTAAAATTATTATTGTAAACACTCTCAAGGAGGGTACCTTAAATAATAATGGAAACAAAATATTAATATTGTCATTAGCCAATGTAAACACCAAAATATAATATTCATCATCCAGCAGTACTATGTTTGCTAATTAGTTTCTTACATAAATAATAACTTGTTTTTTTTTTCTCTTTTGATTCTGTTGTAACACCTAGCACCGTATTGTCAATATAGAATATTAGAACATTATATATAAGCTCTAACTTTTTTGCCATCCAAAACCCCTTTTAAGAAAATATAAATGATGTAAGCTCTTGATAATTTTCTCAATCATGCCATATAAAATATAGAGTATCTGTTTAGTAAAATCTCATTTCATTCAATTTGAGCAAATAAAGCATATCTAGGGATTCAGTATCTCTTGTGTAACAAGAGAAGCCATTGACTGGATGTATTACTTATGCCAGCAAAAGTAAGGAAACGTTTTTCATTATCCATAATATACAAATTTACGGGGCATAGCCTGCGAAAACAGCCGTTTCTCCTCGCTCTTCTACGCTGGGGACCCAGCGGCAAAGAGCGAGGAGAAACGGCTGTTTTCGTGGGCTAACAGGGACAAGGAGGAAATTAGGCCTGAGAAGTAGGTTGGGGGTGTCTCAAATCTTAGGGATACTAAAAGGGGGTCCCTGAAAATGTTTAATGCAGCAAGTAGGGATCCTCCAAATCTTTTAGATAGTAGATGAGTTTTAAATTACACAAACAAACATGGCGGCAAAAAAAGCAATGGTAGACGGAAGACGATTTCTCAAAATCTTTATACTCATTAAAATTTTGTGATATTTGGCAGAGCTAGTTTTACTTTTATCGTATTTTGAATAATGAGAACTTTACAATGAAAGTTAAACAGACGAATTTTGACACATTTAATAATTACAGTACAATTATATTATTGATTATCGAAAACCCGTCTGTTAGAATTTGGTCAAATAGGTTTCAAATGGTAATGATTAATTATACTGTAAAAACGCACATATACGAACCTAGAATTTCGAGGTCAGGCTGAACAGGTTCTTATCTTTTAGGGTAGGTTTTCACAATTCAGGCTAATGAGGTTCTTAAAAGGTTCTTATTTTTCAGAGGTTGTCACAGTGTAACCATTGGCAGAAATATTGTACTACTATTAATACATAATGTCAAACATTCCAGGTCCAAGAACAACACCAATAGATTTCTATATTTTTTAAATAAGATGTTAAGGTTGTAAATCGTCTATATTGTTTGGTAGCTTTATGGAAAACATACTTCTAGTGAAAATCCAAACAAATTAAATCAAAGAAAACATATACACAATAACCTTTTGTCAAAAGTTTCCCACACAATTAGAGTAGAGAATTTTGACCATCAAAATTTGAGTGATTTTTTTGTATAAGAACCTTTTTTTCTTTGCCAGGCTGAACAGGTTCTTATATTTTTGGGTATTTAAATGCCAAATTTCAGCCTGTAGGTTCTTAAATCATTTCAGGTTCTTATATACCGGTTTTTATTGTAGTAAGCTGTGTGCAAGTTTATAGGAAAATCTAATGAGCGAATTTCATGTAAACTGAGCAAAAGTAAAATTTTAATGTTGTAGTCAATCGTTCATGTTGCCATGGAAACTACGAAAACATCAAATTTTACCTGTCAATCAAAATCTTACATGAGTGTATTTTTCACTTGCCAAGTTTCAGCTTGTGAGCTGGAACCTTTCTCTTGCCATGATTTGGCAAATGACATATACTCACAAACTGCTAAAACTGTGTTCATGCAGCCACCTTAAATAGTCAAGGTAAGATCGTGCAACATGCCTCTTCAGAGGTTTACATATTATTGGCAATATGGAGATAGGTGGACAATTGCTTCTGTCAGAAATTGAGTTGTTCTTATGAATAGGTGTCAGTTTTGCTTTCTTGAAGTTATTCGGAAAGGAACCAATTGCAATACTTGCATTGTAAATATGTCATAGAGATGAAGCAATAACATTTAGTACTAGTTTTAAAGGCTTAATATCCTATTCTGTCTAGGCCAGTAGCCTTTTATTTTGTATGTTTTCTTGAGATCTAGGGGGAACTACCGGTACTTTTCTTTTTATTTAGTCATTAATTTATTTTATTTGTATATTATTTTTCTTTTTTATGCAACACACATCTTTGTAAACGGTACTGCGAAATAAACATTGTTGTTGTTGTATGACTTTAATTGTACTAAAGCGGGTTCTCTGAAATCCGATGTTGTTGAAATATTTACCATATTAACCAGTATTCACTGGTCTCAGAATAGAGGTCATAATTCGATTTTAACAGCACTCGGATTAGAGGTCGAAGAGCAAGAAAAAGGACAAGAAAATTATGTCATGAATATCTGTTTGTAATGTCTGTGCTTCTAGTTTCAAGTGATATTCACCAATCACGGAAATCCAAAAGGAATATCACGCGTCACTGGTCGTGAATATAGTAAATCACGCACCACCCTCCCTTTTGGACCCAACAAAGCGTCACGGAAAACCCCTTTGCCACCCTGTAGCAAACGCAGTTTTTCATCAATTTATAAGAGGCATTGATGATGAGATCCTATAATCCAGAGAAGAGTTGTATGTGTTCAGGGATGCCAGCCTAAACCAGACCTTTTTAGAAAACATTTAACTGATAGAACACAGGTTACACTAATAGGTAATGAAACATCTGAAACATGCTATATATGTTGTGGAGCTCCTCAGGGTTCAATACTCGGACTACTTTCTTCCTATTATATATATTATATATCAATGACTCGCCTAATTGTAACCTTTTATCAGATGTGAGAATGTACGCATATGATACTAATCTCACTATTCTGTCTGAAGACCCTGGAGAATTGTTTTAAATCTGTGACTCAATTCAAATTGTTTTTAAACAATGAAAAAAGTTTTCATGTTGTGAAGACTAAAATAGTGTCTTTTTACGGGCACACGGCATAAAATCTCTCTACTGGCTACAGAAGTTCGGGCTGCGGCGACCTCAAAGGCTTGACGCAATTCAGGCAGAGTTTTCTTTTCCCCTCCTCACTCAAGAAGGCAAAAGGAGGGTCTGCTCGTAGGTTACCACCTTGGTGAACATTTCTTCCATTTCAGGTTCAGCTAAAATACAGAAGAAAAAAGGGATGTGACTTAATTTATAAAATAATGATGACAGTTCAAATATTTTTGCTTTGTTATTGTTGTTTCTTTTCTTGTAGTAATCTATTTCATTTCCACGTCTGTAGATTTCAACAACTTATGTAGAGCATTTTTCTTTCTAGCCTCCTCTGCAGGCTTTACTGTCCTGTTTTAGAGAACGATTGGGAGAATGGGGAGAGAAAGGGGAGTGACAGTGACTTTTTTCTTCTTTTCTCGTCCTCAGACTCCTCACGGTCAGTGTAACTATTCCAATAGGAATTTCCTGCGGAGGAGGCTAGTTTCTTTCGTCCGAAATGGGGTATACAATTTGACTAGTCAGCCTGTATCCATGGGCTTCCCGTTGTACTACTTTGTAGAGGCAGCGAAAGGTTTTCTTTGTAAGCAGGTTTAGAAAATAAAGCAAAATAGCAAAATGAAAAGATGTCTGAATCAGAGATAGGGTTTGAAACTTATCTGCTAACCATAGAGAGGAACGTTTTGTAGGCATCAGTTATGTCCCTCCCGGGCCCAGGGTGTTCGTTCTTGGGTAGCTTTGCGCAGGAGGATTTATTTTCTATTACCTTGTCCCCAGAGGCTTTAGGGTGGGGAATGAATGGCTGCCATGGGAACACAATAGTTTGAACAAGAACAACAACAACAACAGAATTACACAAACAAAACAATACTTCTTAAACGGTTTGAAATTGAACGTATGTCCAGAAGAAACCTATGAAGTGACTGATGGAAACATCTTTTAATGAAAACATTAAAACAGTAGAGAAAGCTAGCGCTAGCTTCGAAAACATCTTCTGCCCCTCCAAGGGCTCTCTCGCGTGAAAATCACCTCGCGTAAGGTGACCAAGTATTTTTCATCACTAGATTATACCAGAGATTGTACGATAATAAAAATTATTTTCATTTGTATTCTAGCATTTGAGAGCCCGCTTAGGGACAGAAAGATAGTAACAATTTGAAGAAAAGCAAATCTTCTCAAGGGAATGCCATGGAAAAGATCGTGGAGGAAGCCAAATACACTTACAGACGTAAAGAATACCAGCAATGCATAGGGTATGCCAACGAAGGGCTTCGCCTCGCCAAGGATATGGGAGATAAGCAAGGAGAGGCAAGAGCGTGTGGTCTTCTGGCATGGTCATATTACTGGTGTGGAGATTACGAAGGAAGCATAAAATTCGGGAAAGAATCATTATGTACTGCCAAGGATGCTGGGGATAGGTTACTAGAAGAAGCAGCGGCTGGTGTTCTAGCCAGGTCGTATTACATGGTTGGAGACTACAAGCAAAGCATCGAATACGGCCGTCACTCACTAAGTATCACCGTCAAGGATTTGGCGAAAACGGTACAAGAAGGAGATGTGGGTAGTGTTCCTTATGAACTAAGCCCAGAATATAGCGAAAAAGCGTTGAGTATGGGAAATAAAGTTCGGGAAGAACATGCATGCTGTGTTCTAGCTTGGTCGTATTTCCGCGATGGCGACTTTAAACAAAGTATATATTACGGAAAACAATCACTTTCAATCGCTACGGAATTGGGGGGTAGGGGACGGCAAGCAGCGGCGGGCGATGTTTTGGCGTGGTCGTATTATAGGGTTGGAGACTTTGAACAAAGCATAGAATACGGTAAGCAGTCACTAAACATTGCCAAGGAAAGGGGGCTCAGCTCACGGGAGGATGATGCATGTCGTGTTCTAGCTTGGTCTTATTTTGAGTTAAAGGACTATACACACAGCATAGAGTACAGCGAACAATCACTGCGTATTACCAAGAGAAATAGAGATAGGGTAGCGGAAGCAGATTCGTGCGGTGTTCTCGCGTGGTCTTATTATGAGGTAGGAGACTATGAAAAAAGTATTGAATACGGCAATCAATCAGTGAGTATCGCTAACAAAGAACCTGACGTGGAACAAAGGGTGCGAATTGCAGATGCGTACGGTGCTCTGGCCTGGTCATATTACAAGCTTGGTTGCTTAGAACAAAGTGTACAATACGGCAAACAATCACTAAAAATTGCCATGGAAAAAGGAAATAGGGTACTAAAAGCAGAAGCGTGCCGTGTTCTAGCATGGTGTTATTTACTGCTTGGAGACTCTACACAAGACTATACTCAGAGCATCGAATACGGTAAACAGTCACTAACTATTGCAAAGGAAACAGGGAATAAATTGTGGGAGGCAGAAGCGTGCCGTGTTCTCGCCAGGTCGTATTATAAAGTTGGAGACTTCAAACAAAGCAAAGAACACGGCTCACAATTGCTGAGTATTGCCAAGGAAGAGGGAAATAAGAAAGTGGAAGCAGAGGCGTACGATATCCTAATGACTTCGCATTTGCTAGACTCAGACGTGAGGGCTAATGAATTTGAAGGAACTATGACAGAAGCTGAAACCCAGGCCACAGGAGGACTTACTAACATTAGCTCAGGTAAAGCTTTTACCATTTAAACCATATTTTTCCCTCATTCAGTGAACAAAAATTGGTTTTGCATTGGTTTGTGAATGGCTGTGTGGAATTATATGAATCGCTTGTGTTGTATTGAGTTAAGCTGCAACAGAATAGCCAACTGCAGCACTAAAACTGGATGTAATAGTTGTGTTAAGATAATACACCATATAAAACTGTATTTTGTAGGTAGTTGCAGAAATACGCTTGCGTTCCCAGGCTGGCCGTTTTACTGCTTGGAGACGAGTAAATCAGTCAATATTAACTCATTGTCCCCAAGTTTTTTTCGGCTGCTTCGGGGCTCAACCACCCCATAAAGTTAATAAGGCTCACTTATTATCAGTATTAACCCTGTTCAGACTAGGTGGGGCTTTCGAGCCCCGCCCCCCCCCCCCTGAATTTTTACAGTGAAGAATTTTAAAACTGCTCAAGCTATAATCACTAAACTTAGCAACATTTCTTAAAGTTTAAGTGGAAACCTTTTAAATGTTGAGACAATTACAATGTACGGTTACCTCGATCTGAAAGGCCTTTGAATAAATTATTTCAAAAAGGCGGATCCCAGATGGTGGATGCTAGAATAAACGAAACTTTCATTAAATGCATTCTCTGTATATCGCTAACACGCAATTTTTGACTAAAAAAGCTGTTTGTAATTTATCACGTAAGATTTTTCACCCAATTTTATTTAGATTGAGAATAGAGAGGGGAGGTGTGACGTCACGAAACCATGGTAGCAAAATTTTAAGCAACAACGACGACAACGGCAACGAGAACGGGCAAGCAAACGATACGTTTATATTAGCAAAACATTAACTTGGAGCGTGCATCATATTTTTTTGTACATTTCCTAGCCGTCGTTGCACGACTACGACTTGAAACTTCCTAATTTCAAGCGCCCATTTATGGAGTACGTGAACCCAACAGAAAAAGAATTTCTTTTTCTTTTTCTAAACTTGGATGTGGTCCTTTCGCATTTCAACTTTATCCTCAGAATATTCGCCAACATTTGACAAATTAAATGAAATGAAGTTTGAAACAGTGTGTATGCAGTTTTTAAGTGACGTTTTTGGTTTGATGACATCCAGAATTTGTACTATACCATTGCAACGTGACGTAACGACTTGCAATGGCCTTGTTGGCTCCTCAGCATGTACCAACAACATTTTTTTTGCCGAAAAATATGCCTAAAGACCCTTCCAGGCGGCACTGTAGCGCTTGTGAAAAGTGACGCCATGGGCAAGAAATGGTTTCATTTGTTGCAGAATTAAGCAATTTCGGAAGTTTCAGTCCCTTCTTTTACTTTAAATGACGCCAATGAACCCACGTCCCTGCAATTGTGTGTTAGCCTACTTCATGATCGTATCCTAAACATTCCTATTTTCATTTCTTTTCATTTCATATTTATATCCATTTTTGCGTAAATAAAATAGAGGTAATATATGAAAGTTCGCACGTAAACGTTAACGTTTTAAAACATTGCTTCCATTACGCCCTGATTGCCTCTATCATCTATTTGAGCACATAAAGTTAACGCCCGTACGCAAGTAAATCTTACGGGACAGTGGCCATATCTTGAGCCATCTAATAAGGTTTTCTTCTTTTGCGCAGCTGTATTCCCTGGTTTTCATCCTGGTACAGACAAAGATTATAAGATGATAGCTATCCCAAGAGGAATAACGCTGATTGTTAACAACAAGATTTTTGCCAGCGAAGCACATCCACCTCGTCACGGGTCGGAAAAAGATGTTGATCAAATTGAAACGTTGTTTACTAAGCTCGGTTTTGAGGTACGAAAGAGAGAGAACCTTTCAAGACTACAACTCTTAAAGGAACTTGATGATGTTGCCTGCCAGGATCACAGTGCTTATGACTGTTTTGTGTTGTGGCTCATGAGCCATGGCAGAAGTGGTGAGGTGTTCTGTTCTGACGGTAACACGATACCTATTCAGACTCTTCATGATATGTTGAGCGAGTGCAATACGCTAAGGGATAAACCAAAGCTGTTTTTCATCCAGGCATGCAGAGGTGACGGAGAAGACGAGGGGGTGTCTGTTTCCGCTAATACCGGTATTTCATCTTACGAACAGCATAGTCCCAGCCAAGTTGATTCGCCCATTGATGCCGTGAAGAAACCTACACCCAGAGTCCCCACACATGCAGATTTTCTGTACGCATTTTCTACAGTCGATGAGTATGTATCGTACAGACATAAGGCTCTAGGAAGCTACTATGTTCGCGGCCTAGTTGAGGCATTCCGTGAACGTGCGGTTTATGACCACCTTCTCGATATTTTAACAGTAGTCAACCAGAAAGTCAGTACCATGGAAGCCAACATGCCATCGGTGGGGAACAAGAATGAAATCAAAATTTTAAAACAAATGCCAGAAGTTAAACATACCTTGCGCAAAAAAGTTCGTTTTTAGATCAGTGGTCAGCGTGTATTTAGTTTTCTCAAATGCCGGAATATTTCGACTTTTTAACTTCAAGCTCCAACCCAACGTGAAGGCTTAAAGGAACAACAGTTGACAGTGCGTATGTTTTTGCGTCAATTAAAATCGGAGTGTTAGGCTCATGTCAAACATCAAAATTTTCACGTACCAAACTTAATACCTACTTAGGTCGACCTGAATGATATAAGTTCTTAGACTGATTTTCAAACGTTGAACTTTCACGACGTACAATGACCTACAATGCTTATAAGTCAAAGTATAATACACAGATTTAGCTAGAGCTAAGAGCGAAAGCTTCCGTTGATGCATTTTGAATTTACTTCTTACAATGAACTTTAAATCATTGCAGAAATCCACAAATCTATACTTAATTTTAGGGGAGAACCATATGACTGAAAAACCAAAACTTAAGCCCGCGATCCTTTAAAAGTCAGCAACTGGTCAGCGGAAAACTTCAAAAACACGTGATCTCGGTGAGTTCATGTGACTCTGGTCAGCGGATACCCTGTTTTGACGGGTGCGTTTTCGATGAAAACGCATCGAAATGTATGCGTGTTAAAACGAAAACGCGTTAGTGTGGATGGGCCTTTATTCATGGGTCGACCCAAATTTTACATGTCGGATCTCACTGATCAAAACGTCGATCTTTTCTTGTACTTAATTGAAGGGGCTAGGCTCGGTACATGAAAAGTTCGACGTTTGATCTGGGCATAAGATGTTCAGACGGCGACAGGAACAGGTTATTTGAAAAAGCAATAGGCTATTAATAAGCATAGCAACATAGATCAGACGTACATCGCACCTTGGCTTCAGAAAGTTTCACGGTCTTGTACATTTTTTAAGCGTCTTTATAGAAATTGACTGTCTGGGATAATAAATTGTTAAATTATATATTTATTTAAAATTTTATTACGATTTACTACAAATATTAGAACGCCTAACATTTCACAATAGACTAATACTAAGTTTAATTAGTAGTCAATGACGCATCTCCCCCTAGTCGTAACTGCACGCCTCAACCTCTTTTATTGTGCGAAAACGTGCTGTTGCAAAATAAAGCTGATTAAGTTAAGGCAGATTACAATAGTCAGGGGTCAGGGTTTTACAGTACTCATAAATAATTGCGAGGGAAGTACTAATATTTTTAACTAGTTACACAAGGCTGTAGTAGAGTTTAAGGAAATAATCTTTAGAAGTTCTATTTTTGCAGTCATGTTGAATTCTTCGTATATTTTTATTCGAGTGTCTTCCGTTACTTACTTTCCTTTTCCTGAATTACAATTGAGGCCTTCAGGGTAAGATTGTTTTTGTGCAATTTGGTGAATGATGCTTTTTTTTTTTCTCATCGATAAACTTACAGTTTACCTAAGATTCCCGACTTCGGTTATTTGTAGTGTAGGCCTGCACGAAAGGTCCCACAGTATTGTATCATGGCGTCAACTCAATAAAACTTTCACAATTGAAGTTTACAAATGTAAATATTACCTTAGGAATTACAAAAGTTTGATCAATAGAAGGTTCTGGACTATATGAACTTCTCACTTTAACGGGGAAACACAGAAGTAAAAGAAATCGCTAAAATCGCATCGTATCAGTAAGGAAGCAACATGAGGCTTTTTTCACTCGCCTCTGAGCTTGGGTTTTCTTTGGGAAGACTAGTCTCCAATCTATCGATATTCGAGCCCACATTCATACAGTTAGTGCCCGTAGATTCTCAACAAAACTAAACGTGGCCTTGCGAACAAATATGGCTGCCAAAGAAATCGCGGTTTTTGTTATTTTATCCTCTATTTCTCCATTTAGGCCTTAGCGACAACTGTAATTTCACTCACAGATGTGGATTTCGACGACAGGGTGTTCGGCTCTTTCACGCATTCTGTAATGTTTTATGGAAAGTGGAATCGTACCCTAATCTGATGCGGCCTAGAACACACCTGAAATGGTTCTGTACTGGGGCAAATTTGATACTAAAAATTGTAATCTTGTCCTTTCGTTTCAGAAGTTGGAAACAAAACCACACTATTTAAATTTGTAAAAGTTGTATTAAATTGGCCCCTACTTAGCCTGAGTATCAGGCATTTCTGGGGGAAGGAAGGAGGGGAGAGGAGGAGGGAGGAGAAGAGAGAAGCGAAAAGGGGAGACAGCGAAGGGAGAGAAACGCCTGAGACAGATACTTTTACGGACGCCTTCCACCCCCGAACAGTATGATTCATCATTAGCCAATCAACATCATTTGCGGTTTTGCGGTCGTGCTGTTATCAACACGACAAACTGTCTAGCCTGAGTATCAGTCCTTCCTTACGGGTTAGGGGAAAGGAGGTTTTAGAAGGGGGGGGGGGGGGGGGGGGGGGGGGGGGGGGGGCGCGCCCAAAACCCCTCCCCCCCCCTCCCCCCCCCCCCCTCAAAATCCCCCCCCCCCCCCCCCCCCCCTTCTTTCTTTTCTCCCCCGGGGAGTTTTTCTCTTGTTGTTTTTTTTGGGGGGGGGGGGGGGGGGGGGGGGGGGGGGGGGGGGGGGGGGGGGGGCAGAGAGAGGGAGGCCTGACCCAAAACCTTCGTCTCTCTCTTCCCCCCCTCCTCTAAAATCTCTCCTTCCCCATGGCCCCTGCTTTACTGATTCGTCTCACGAGGAATTTAGCCTTGCAGTTTCTTTGCTTTTGAAGTATAATGTCTTAAAATCCGAGGACCAAAATTTAGCACCCAAAAAGTCCACTGCCGAATTTCCGACGGCAAAAGGGAGATCAAGTGACTATATATATTAAAAGCCTGGCGATAGACAGAGACAACAAAAAAATAAAATGGAAGTGTTGGTTTACCTCTAGACACTTTGCAGACTTTTGACATGATTGATTAGCATGAATTTCATCCGATTACTTCGAGTCGTTATTACTCCCTCAGTTGCTGAGAGGAGAAAACGACTCGAAGCAATCGGATGAAATTCAGGCTAATGATTGATTGTATATTAACCGGTTTTATGAAAAAAAAAAAAGGAATTTAGGACGGTTTTTTTTTTCATACAAAGTCTAACGAACTCCCACAGAGTCTGGGCTGCCTGTAACACTGGATGACGACTGGGCTGAATAACGTCTGCGCATGTGCAGAGAGGGGAGAGGTCTGGGATCTAAACTAGTATCGTTCACAAAAGGATTTTCAAAACATTCTCACATTTTGGCGATTTTCAAGGTGGATTCTGAATATTTAAGGTTCCCATTTAAAGCAAAGGTAGATTATTTCATACTTCATTCAATTCTCGTTTATAGTTTTGTAGTTTTTCTTATATTTTTTGCTATGAACAAAAGAAGACGCACGAACGAAGTGTCTCTCCTAAATTAGTATCGTTTGCAAAAGGATTTCCTAAACATCCTTACATTTTGGCGATTTTTAAGGTGGATTCTGAATATCTAAGGTTCCCATTTGAAGCAAAGGTAGATTATTTCATACTTCATTCAATTCTCGTTTATAGTTTTGTAATTTTCCTTATATTTTTTGCTATGAACAAAAGAAGATGCACGTTCGAAGCAGAACAGTTCTTTCATTCGAATGTTTACCTGTTCAAGCGTAAACAGAAATGAACGACGGCTTTTCAACATGTGATCAGCCGTGCATCTCATATCAGTATCAGCATTAAAGGAACATTTTGATATTTATCTTTATTTTTCCTTGAATGATCGACTATTAATTTCTGTTATTCCTCTCGCTTTGTTTCGCTAGGTTTCACTATAAGAACTGTAAGAACACAAAAAAAAATTCACTGAGGTTTCTCTTCTTTCTTCCACTATCCAGCTATTGCAATCAGATTTACTAATAAAGTACATACTAGACTACAAATCTTGGCCACCAAAATTTCGTGCTGAATCTAAATAGTTTAATTCAGTCTTGCTCTGGAGAATGGAGCGTATGAAAAACCATCTTCCACAGTTGCTCAGTCTCTGAACAAGAGCAAGCCTAACCTGCCATTTTTAACTGTCACCGACTCATTTGTGAAACTGAAGTGTGTCAACCCGTCTTAGTATGTTAGACCATCGAAGTAATTCAAGCTAGCTGTAATCCTTGAGTTAGCTTCATTTTACCTTACTTTTGACTATAAAGAAATTAATTCATGAAAAAGATGCAAGTAGTTGACAATTGCAACTGCCATTGATCAACAGCTAAGTTCTTTTTCAAGATTTTTAATTATAGTATGAACATGTAGTGGGGCACTTCACTTTGTTTAATTGTGTTCTTGAGTTTGGCTTCCTCATATCCTCCTCTTTCACCAGCCAACTGATAATGCCTCCAAAACTAAAACCTCATTTATGTTTGTTAAAATTGTTACCCAGTGCCCAACTGATCAAGAATTTATACTGTAATAATACACGGTTAACAAGAATAATAAATAATCACTGAACCAATATAAGTGGGTCTTATCCAAGAAAAAAATCTTCCAAATTCAGCTCAATGTAATGTCATTAAAATAATAAACTGATTTTGAGTACATTTTACACATTGGGCTTAAAAAGTGAAATGGTTCTTTTAATATAAGAAATAATTTAACTAATGTACGGTCTCCCTCTTGCCAAAGAGAGAAATTACTGTTCATCTCAAATTACAAACTGTCTTCAAACTGACATTTAAATTAAAGAAGTGACAACTAAAGGGGTAGCAATTTTACTGTCAAGTGATGGCAAGACTTGGAAGCTGTTAGATGAGATAAATGATTGGCCAATAAGACCCTTTACCAAAGAGCCAAAGAAAACTCACATACAGTGCAATACAGAGTCTTATCAGAGGTCCAAACCCTCTTCACTCTCTAATAAAAGGCAGCCTTTATTATTATGGACCTTTGAAAGCTTGACCCATTCTCATCTCCGAGGGTTTTTTTTTTTGCTGTACACTCCGGTTTTCCCCTCTCCTCAAAAACCAACACTGCCAAATTACAATTCGACCTAGAATTTAATATAATATTCACAGTATATTTCTGAAGTGAAATATTTCAT